GGTGGCACAGTGGCTAAGAACTGGGCTGCTAACCAAAAGGTTGGCAGTTTGAATCCACCAGCCACTCCTTGGAAACCCTATGGGGCAGTTCTACTCTGTCTTATGGGGTTGCTATGAGTCAGAATCTATTTGACAGCAATGGGTTTTGTTTTGTTTTTATACAGTATACACACACACACACGTATACATAAAGATAATATATATCTCTGTTTTTATATATATATACATACATACACATATAGAGAGATCTCTATATGTGTGTGTATATATATATATGTGTGTGTGTGTGTGTAGAGAGAGAGAGATTTCTTTTCGAGAAATTGGCTCATGCAATTGTAGGGGCTGGCAAGTCCAAAATCTGTAGGTCAGGGACAGGCCGAAAATTCCAACAGTCTTATATCCCAAAATCCGTAGGTCAGGCAGTGGAGAAGTGAGAGGAATTCTGGCAAGATGTTTATTTACAGTCTGGAGGCAGAATGGCAGAATACTCCCTCAGGAAGCCTCCCTTTTTGCTCTTAAACTCTTCAACTGATTGGATGAGGCCCACCCACATTATGAAGGGTAATCTGTTTTACTTGAGGCCAAATGACTTAATAACTTGTAAACAGTTTATAACAACATTGAGATTCGTGCGTGAACAAACAACTGGGCACTATAGTCTAGTCAAGATGACATATAAAACTAATCATCATGGTAGGGTAAGTATACAGTTCTTTACTTTGGTCCAAAACGATCTCCACTACTCAGAAACAAACAAACGAACAAAATTGTTAATCAGCAGTATATGATGTAGCTGTGAAAAGAAGTCCATTAAACGTTAGGCAGCACTGTGAGAGGTAGACATTTGTCAGGTATTAGAAGGAACATGGATCTGGCACCAGAAAACCGGGTCAAATCCTTGTTCTGCTACTTTGGCCACTTAAACTCTCTGATCCTTACTTTTTCTCACAAGGTTGTTGTGAAGGTGAAATGAGTTAACAAGTTTACGTTCCAAGCACAAGTGCTCAATAAATATGACCTGGAAAAGTTATCATTCATAATAAAATAGGTGATCTTGGCACTCCATTCTGCCCTAGACAAGATGGTACTTGGAATGAATTCCAGGTGGCATACTTGTGGAGAAACTAGAACTATTTCCAAAGATGGTGACCAAGATGGATGAGCAACTCGAAGGAAAACACGAAGAGTTGCTGCAGGAACTTGAGATAACTGGTCTGAAGAATACTTGATCCGGGGGTGACTATACCTACCTTCAACCATCTGATGGTGTGCTGAATGGCCTTCTGGAGGGTTCCAAGGGGGCAGAACTAATACTGGAGGATGGAAATGACAAGAATTGAGTTAGGGTGACCACTTGGTGGGGATATTGTGAGCGATTTCAGCACAAGTGAATGGTTGGACAACATGGCCTTTAAACACACGACAGTCTGCTTGTTACATTTCTAGCACAATTTCCGTGAAATAATTTCTTCTAGATTCTGTCTCAAAGTAATTCAAGATCTCCACTTTCTTGGGCTGGGCTGGTTTCTAGCCTTCAAATTATACCGCTATCCATCCAGGTCTAGGCCAAACATCTTCTGTCTTCTCCAACCTGCCTTCTTCCACCAGTTTACTCTTGCTCTTTATTTTGTTTAGGAATTTGTCGTGCTTTTAAATGCCACCTTTCTTCCAAACTATCCAAAGGACACAGTAGAGGGGTAATCTTGGCATTTTTTGGGAGTTGGGCCAGCAACACATGATCTCCTGTTTGCTGAAGAAGGCAAAGCAGGAATTAAGAACCAGAAGTTAAGGGTTCCAGAGTTGGAGCTGTGTACCAAGAAGGGGGGTGGGCTCGGAATCCCAGACAAAGGTTTTTACTGGGTATTTAGCCTATTGGGTAGAAAGCAGGGACCAAAGGCCCCTTGCCTTGAGCCTGTTAACCTACTACAGGCACTCAAAAGTTGTTGGCTCAATGGACGACTTCCCCTGTTTACTGGAGGCAAAATGAAGCCTGGGCAAGCTGCTCAGTATCTCCAGCCTGGTCCAGTACGCGATATGGAAGGTGCCCTGGGGCAGCCAGCACGGTCTCCCGCCGGGCCAGGGCTCGCCGGTTCCGCTCTCACGTGACCCCAAGGAACTGTTTTTAGTTTTTTCCAGCAGTGCGTTGCCAGGGACGCCGTCAGCTCCGCACGGCTAGGGTGAAAGAGGACGCTGGGCGGGGAGGGGGGCGTGGCTCCCGACTGGCTGGGACAGGAAGGTTTATTTGCATAATATTCTCTGACGGCTGACGATTGGCTGAAGCCAGAGGGGCGGTAGTGGGGTGATTCCAAGGGCCCGGAGCTCTGGCCCGGTGACCTTTTAGTTCCGGAGTTACCCGGTGGGTGTGAGTTGTTGCGCTGGCCCGGAGGAGCTGGGAGGCCCAGTTTCAGAAGTTTTGCAGGCAGGTGCACGAGCTGTCTTTCTCTGATAGTGTTTAAGAAATGTGCAAGAACAGGGGCCAGAGTCAAGAAACCGGGGATGGAAGGTGACCTCGAGACCAGAAGGCAGGAAGGAAACACATCAGAGGAGGGGTGGGGCCAAAAGGAAAGACTTACGGGCTTTCTCCCAAACTGGGCTTTTTTTTTTTTTTCCCCCTGGGATCCCTTTGCTAGATCGCTTGGATTACCGTTGTCAGCGAGTTATTATCACACTTAGTCAGAACTGGGAAGAAGGGAAAAGGAGGCATTTAATAAAATTCAAATCAGAAATATTCCGAGTTTTCATCCAGGCACGTACATATTTAAAACGCCAAGAGGGTCTGGGATGGGGAGCAGAATATGTTTTAACTTATGAAAGGATCAGCTACTTGGATATATTTTTCTCGAGTTTCCTCTTACAGTGTTCTTCTCATCTCACTGAACGTAAGGGTTTAAAACCAGTCTAGACTATTTTGTACTCTCGTGCTGCTAGGCCCTTGGGGGAAGGGTCTGTGGCTCATTGAACCCCATTTGCACATTTTTAAGGTTTCTGACTCTTCACATAAAATACGGCTAGACTATGGCGAGAGCCTATATTAAGTACAATTAATCTTTGTAAAGTGCTTTACAATTTCCATAATGGTTTTTACATCCATTATGTTATTTAACCTTAACTAAAATTCTTGGCACAGCCCATGGGAGAAGCTCCATTTTATTGATAAGAAAACTGAGGCAGGGGACGTTTCCAAATCTCTGTATGTGCAAAGAGGGAGGGTGAGCTTATTTTAATGCTTCATGTTTATATAACACGTTTTTTTCCTCTACATTTTTCTTTCTATTGATCCTTCCAATGACTCTGATAGGTAGGTTGAGCAGGTAACAATATCCCAGTCTGACAAGAAAACATGGTCTATGATCTACAGCTAACAAGTCCTGGGTGGGTCCCCAGGGTCCCTGGGTGGGCTCTGTCTCAAGGTCACTTACACCTTGTATCCTGTTGTCAACAGGCCAGTCCTGTTGCACCAACTCAGCTTTTCATTCAGAAGACAGTTATGAACATGGTTTGCCACAGTAAAAATCTAGATGTAGATCGTACGGTGAAAGAAAGCATGAACACCCCTTTATTATGTGCTACTCTCTCCTTTTGGCCCTTTTTGTCCTACAGGAGTACAGGACACTAAAAACCTTTGCTATCAAGTCGATTCCGACTCATAGTGGCCCTATAAGGCAGAGTAGGACTGCCTGCCCCATTAGGGTTTCCAACGACTAGCTGGTGAATTCGAACTGCCGACCTTCTGGTTAACAGCCAAGCTCTTAACCACTACACTACCAGGGCTCCAGCACAATAAAAAGCACTCCTGAAAGGTTTTAGAGAAAAGGGATGTGAAATTAGAAGCTTGAGTCTTGGTGAACATAATTATCTGCAGGATTGTCAGTGAAGGTGGGAATGAGGGACATGGCAAGGGAAGTGAGATGGTTAAAAACAAACGCACAAAGCCAACAACAAAACAAGCAAACAGAAACACCCCACGAAAACTGGCTGTGCTTCGGAAGTCCCAAATTGAATTTCTGGGACATGTCTGCTGCATGTTAGCTTAGGTTCCATTAAATGACTCTGTGATTTAAGAACGATCCTTTGAAAGGAAGATGTCACTCCTTTCAAAAAAAAAAAAACAGGAAAAAACTTGGACGCCTCCTCACTTTTCTGTTAAATGATGAAAGACACCCAATACCAGGCCTAACTACTGTTACCCTCTCTTGGCCCCTTGGCAGCCAAAAGGCCACACGGCCCCAGCTCTCCAGCATCTTCTAGTAGTGGACTTGGACAAAAGTTAGGCACTTGGCTACTTCTCACCATCACCACGTTCTGACCTCGAAAAACCTGTAGATCCGACGGTGGGCCACTCTCCATCCCCGGCAGCAGCTGCTACAGGAAAGATTAGGAAAGACTTGGCCCCGGAAGGTGGCAAAAGCCACCGTGCTCCCTTCCCCCAGCAGCAGGCAGCGGCTAGGGCCACAGCCGGAGCACCACGCGTCCACGTGCACCCGGCATGCCCGGTCACCCTTCTTACATAAGAGTCCCAGGATGGAGTTGCAGCTGCGGCGGGTACCTCTTCCCAGACGGTTAAGAATAAACCGGGGGTCAGTTTCCGGGCCGCGGCTACTACAGGTGCCGGGGTGGGGGGCTCACTTTACAATCAGGGTACGTGCATTCCCAATCCGGTCATCCCGCCCGGGCAGAGCGCGACAGGCCCGCCCTGCCCCCGCACGCCAGTCCGCCCTCCAGCCGACTCCGAGGTCGGCGCCTTCTCCACCCCCGGATACCCAGCCCTCCCCCAACCGGCCGGCTCGGGCTCGGTGGTGGTGGGGCGCGGCTAGCCCAGGCCCTCCTGCCCTGCCCCGGCGCCCTCCCTCCGCCCGGATATCAGGCGAGAGGCGGAGCTGGCCCGGCGCGCCCCGCCCCCGCGGTAGAAAGGGCCAGGCGGGTGTTACTCGCGGTCAACTCGGCCAGGGCCTTTTATCTTGGTGCTGCCGAGGGAGGCGGGAGGAGGAGACACCGGGAGTGGCCCTGAGAGCCCGCGACACCTTGCCCAGGCTATAAATTGAGCACCTGGGATGGGTAGGGGGCCGATGCAGCCACCACCGCCCGCAGTCACAGTCTGGCCACTGACCACAGAAGCGTCCGTGGGTAGCAGCCGCAGGCAGCGGGCACGCTGAACTGCTCGGAGCTGAGAATCGCGGGGTGCAAGAGGAGGTAGGTGCCCCCGCACCATCGCTGCCCTGGCCAGCGTGGGTGCTTGGGCTCAGGCTTTTCGGAGAGAGACGGGGTGTACCCCTTCTTCCTCTCCGCGGCCCTTGGCGGGCGAGGAAGTGGGACCGCCCAGCGGCGGAGAGCCACCCGGGCGCCTTCCTTGCCGAGCAGAGCCGGGGAGGGCGGAGAGCGCGGTCGGGGGTGCCGGGCACCCTAATCGGGAGAATAATCTCTTCTTTCATCCCCGTCTCCCAACCAGGCCAGAACTCGACCCACCGACCACCCACCGCCGTCGCGAGCTTCCGGACGCCTGAGCTGGGAGAAACCGCACATCCCTCAGGGCCGGGCCCCGAGCAGACTAGACAGAGTTGGAGCAAGCGGAGGAGGAGCCGGGAATCCAGACCCCCCGGCTAGAGCCAGCCCCCCGGCGCGGGCCTCGGAGAGTGTGTGAAGGCGGGCAACCCCTCGCCCCGGCCGGCCGTGCCTGTGCCCGTGCGCCCCAGTGCCCGCGCAGCCACCATGATGCAGATCTGTGACACCTACAACCAGAAACACTCGCTCTTTAACGCCATGAACCGCTTCATCGGGGCCGTGAACAACATGGACCAGACGGTAATGGTGCCCAGCCTGCTGCGCGACGTGCCTCTGGCCGAGCCGGGGCTGGACAACGACGTCGGGGTGGAGGTGGGCGGCAGCAACGGCTGCCTGGAGGAACACTCGCCTCCAGCCTCCAGCCCGGGCAGCGCCAATGGAAGCTTCTTCGCGCCCTCCCGGGACATGTACAGCCACTATGTGCTGCTCAAGTCTATCCGCAACGACATCGAATGGGGGGTTCTGCACCAGCCGCCGCCGCCGGCAGGGAGCGAGGAGGGCAACGCCTGGAAGTCCAAGGATATCCTGGTGGATCTTAGCCACCTGGAGGGTGCGGACGCGGGCGAGGAGGACCTGGAGCGGCAGTTCCACTACCACCTGCGCGGGCTGCACACCGTGCTCTCCAAACTAACGCGCAAAGCCAACATTCTCACCAATAGATACAAGCAGGAGATTGGCTTTGGCAACTGGGGCCACTGAGTTGCGGCGCCCACGGCTGCCCAGGCCCTCCCCAGTCCCGTCTCTCATCCTCTCTCTTTCCTTAAAGCGATTTTCTTCCTGGCTGTGGGGCGCGACGAGCGGACTGCAAGGGTGGGGGACTGCGGATGTGCAGGGGATGCGGCGGGGCTGCGTGGAGGAGGGGGCCTCCTTCAGGAGAGGAAAGCGATGGCGGGCGGGAAAGGGGAGGTTCAGAGTCCCCCCGGGAGGGGGCCTAGCGTTCTACGTTGGTAGGACTGGGCTGACGCCCTGCATTCAGTCTGTGCCTTTCCTGGAGTTTCTTTTCTTTCCGGAGGAGGAGGGCCTAGATGGGGCCGTGCCAGGGCGCGGTGCTGGATTGCCACACTTGGGAGCGCCTCCTGGAGCTGGGCGCTGGGGAAGGCGGGACGCGCAGCCTCCCGCCACCCTACTGTTGGCTTCCTACGATGGAGGCCGCGGCGTTGCTAGGATTGCATCAGTTTTCCTGTTTGCACTATTTCTTTTTGTAACAGTGGTCTGTCTTAAGTATTTCGAATCTTGTCCTTGCTCTGAAACTTCGGCGATTCCATAGTGATAAGCGCACAAACAGCACTGTCTGTTGGTAACCGGTACTACTTTTATTAATGATTTTCTGTTACACTGTACAGTTGTCCTGTGGCACCCCCACCCCATCCGGTCTACCCCATCCCTTCCACTCCATCCCCTCTCCCACCCTAGTGTGTGTATACTGGCGGTGCGCCGGCTTGTACGAAGCTTGCCATTCAGCCAGTGAAAATAATAACATTATTATGAGAAAGTGGATTTATCTGAAATGGAACCAGCTGACGTTCTATCCGTATTATACATAGAGTGATGAAGGGTTCCTCCATTGTTATATGTCTTAAAGTTATTTAAAACTTTTTTAATCCCAGATGTAGACTATATTCTAAAAAATAAAGAAAATGTGTTAACCTAACTTGACAAACGTTTGTTGCTCTTTAATCTGCCAGTGAATGGCTTAGTACTTAAATAAAAATAATTTTAATGGAATTTTTTTTTTTTAGCAAATTTTATTTTTCTTCTGGTATTTCAAGCTGCTGAATATTCATTTCTGTATTTAGTTTTCTTTCTGGAAGTAGCTACTGACAAAATTTACTTCCAAGTTTTATTTCCTACCTCAACAAAAAGTTCATAAAGATTCAAAGTGTTTGGGGGTGGTACATGTATTGTATCTTTCAACCCAGGTGGCCAGCTTACTGAAGTGCTTAATTGACATTCGCATTTTTTAAGAAGCTCAATCGCAAGCTGAAGTGTTTTGAGGCATAAACACTTATTTTTAAATGCTACAAATTTACTTGGCTGCTGAGAAGTGAAGACTTAGAGAAGAAACGCCAGGTAACACTAGTCCACACACCTTGGGGGTTTCTATTTACAAGGCTTTTATGTTTAACCTAGGGGGTGTTGAAACGTGTTATAATGTGAGCCATGGTCTCTTTCACTAGTACCCTGGGGAATGCTAAACTTTGTTGAGAAATGTTCAGCCAGACTTCCAGGTCTTCAGTGAACTAGTATGCAGATGTGGGCAGCAGATCTGATGAAGGCGGCAGGAGCGTACTTGGGAATATTTCTTTCATTCCTTTATGATGCTCTACTGGGATGACGGGACAGGGGAAATCTGGTGCACTACATTTTCTTTATTTCAGTATTTGTTTTTAGGGGAAGAGTGTTAGATCAACTTCAGTTTTAAATTTTGAAGCCATGAAGCATTCTTTAAGTTCAGAGAGCTTGAGTCTAAATACATGTAACTTTGCAGTTTAAAAAAAGTAAATTTTTTTTTTTTTTTTTTGTGATTCAGGCTGTTCTGTCTACTATCAGCTTATAGCAGCAGTGAAAAAATGGGGAAGTGTCAAGACTGGGGTACTGGCCGTTACCAGAGAAAGTTAATCATTAATATATAAAAGATAAGCTGGGCAGCACCACAAGTAAGGGGTACAGCCTCTTGTTTTGTGTCCCCTTTAAAATATCAAAATGGTCTGTGAAACAAGCAGAAAATTCAAAGAACGGAAATCACAGAAGCCACATGGGAGAAAGGAACACAAAGGCTTTGGAGCCGGGAAGTTGAATGTTCAAATCCTCTTGTTACCACTTATTAATTGTGTGTATTTAATCCTCCAAGCCTGTTTCGACATTTGAAACCGGGCATGATACAATGCTTACTTCATGAAGTTGCAATGAGAATTAAGAGAGCTGATGCTTACTTAGGTGTTTGTTTAGGCACTGCTGAAGTGCCTTAAAGATTTCTGTCTCTCTCACTCTATCTAAATGTTGGCTCATGTCTCCATTTTTCCCCCTTTCTCTTTCTCCATGAATGTATAAGGCTTAGGGCAATATGTCTAAAAAAAATCAATTTCAATCACACAGTCCCGAAACAACAGTTAAACTATTTTTCAAAGTTGTGAGGGAGAACCTGAATTAAAACCAAAAGGTTACAGTTTGGGCAGATGATGTCAAGAATTTATGACATGTTACCTGCAAGTTGTTTTTTAGAATACTCCTGAGGTGTATGGAATACAGAAAAGTAGATGTTAATAGCAAAAGTGAACTGTAAATAAGAGGTTGTTAATTTGATAACTTTATTTTTGAAAATATTACTTTGTGAAAGAGTATCTTTTGGAGCCCTGGTGGCACAGTGGTTTAAGCGCTCGGCTGCTAACTGAAAGGCCGAATCGACCAGCCACTCCTTGGGAGAAAGATGTGGCAGTCTGCTTTTGTAAAGATTTACAGCCTTGGAAACCCTATGAGGCAGTTCTACTCTGTCCTATAGGGTCGCTATGAGTCAGAATCCACTGGATGGCAGTGGGTTTTTTTTTTTTTTTTTTTTGGTTAAGGGTATCTTTTACATATAAATAGATAGTGATTCTGATCCAAGAGTAATGATGACCACTGTTAAAGAGCACTGGATTTATTATGAACCAATAAGGTTTCCCAGGCCCAGTAAGTACTATTCCACTCATAGTAACTAGTATGTTATTCAAGGTCAGTTTATGAAGGAAAAATCCCCAAAAGATCACCTGTTAAGATTTCTCAAGCTATTTAAAATTTTGCTTAACTTCTGAGGAAACTATATTTTCAGAACGTTTTTCCTGAAGAATCTCAAAGTACTTTTTTTATTTTAAAAATTGAATACATTGTGTGGCACCTTGTGCAATGAGCTATGGGAGGTGATGGTAGTCTGACAGTGCCCACCTCCAGGACCGTTTATAACTGAATGGAAGGCACAGATACATGGCTTAGGTTGGAATGGATTATCCTTCACATATTTACAGTTGATAAGAATTTTTTAGGAACCCTGGTGGCGCAATGGTTAAGCGCTCTGCTGCTAACTGAAAAGTCAGTAGTTTAAACTCACCAGCTGCTCGCGTGGGAGAAAGATGTGACAGTCTGCTTCCGTGAAGATTACAGCTTTGGAAACCCTATGGGACAGCTCTTCTCTGTCCTATAGGGTTGCTATGAGTCAGAATCAACTTGACGTCATACCGCAAAAGCAACAAGAATTTTCTACATCAAAATCTTACAAGACCTTTGAGAAAGCCTGGTTTTATCTTACAAACAACTTTCTGCTTTGCTGGTGGCATTTCTTAGTAGTCTGGCCTAATTTACTCTTTCTCTGAACTCAGTTTGTTAGAGAACACGGCATGGAGGCTGGATTATTATTCTATGACAACTTGAGAACTAGCCTACTGCTGACAATTTTTAAAAAATGAAAGTTATCATCATTTGCATATGCCTCATCATTTCCCCTTAGTTTTAATTGCTGAACAAAGATAATTTGGGAAATATTGTTCTCTCTCTCTCTCTTTTCGATATTGCCAGTGATTCTCAGATGTTTGCAAATTGGACATGGGTCTGGTGGATTGAGGACTCAAATCTTGTATCATGTATTCTTTTATAAAAAATGTAATTAACTTTAGATAGGCACAAATAAAGAACATCTAGGACATTTTTACCAATTATTACATCCACGTGATTTATTTTGAAGAGTTTTGAATGAAATAGTGAGAAATGGAATACTTTCTATAAAATTCTAGAGGCAACTTTTGCCTCCAACTAATAAAAAAAAAAAAAAAAGAGATGGGAAGTTTTGAAAACTTTAAACATATGGAATAGAGATTTTTCTCTTAAAATTAATTGCTACTAGTATTTTTAAAGTCTCAAACTTTATATGGTTTCGGATTAAGCTTAAATTGCTTTATTACCAAGATAATTTAAGCTTTTAATTTTTTTCTTTTAAGGTTATCCCCAATTTTTTTTTTAACTCAGGGAAATTTAAAGGTTGTTCTTGAGTTACTTAAACACTTGACTACGCCTCTAGTTAGTTCATTTTGAGCTGTGTAGAGCTTTCTGCTAAGTGGTGCAGACCATGACCATTGGCTACAAGCAACAGTTTCTGTATCTGGAAGCCAGTGCCAGCCTTTGATTCATGCATCTAGGGTTTCTGCCCTGGGTCCCTCACTTTAGAAAGTCTCTACTCTGACTCGCCGCTGGCCTCGTCACTCCCCATGGAGCAAGGAGTCCTCAGAGCCAAGGGAATGCCCAGAGCTTATGTCTCCCCTTCTAGACCACACTCTGGGTATCTGGGACCTCAGAAGTCCCCATCCCAATGGCCCTGAGCCCATCCCAGGGACTTCATGGGCATCTACTCCAGGTTCGTTCTCCCGATAGTGGATAGGCTGCTGGCCTGAGGCTTGATGGGGTGATGTGGATGGGGACAGGCTGCTGGCCAGATGCTGACTGGGTTGTCCATACATGAACATACAAAGGAAGATAGGCTGGGGACCTTGTTTGTTCTTTTGTCCTGGTCCCCTGGGATTCAGGATAAACAAAGCGTTTGAAGCCTGCAGAAAGGAAATAAGAGGTTAAAGCAGCTCAAGCTTCAAGGTCTCTTCCCGTGTTGACAAAAGAGGATTCCATGGTTTTTCTCCCTGTTTTACACATACCTTAGGAGTTTCCTTGCTCCATTGAAGAATGATATTTATTTAATGAAAGGTTGGCTACGGAAAACCACATCTGTACACAGAGCTTTTTCAGCTGCTTGCTGAATGGCGGCAATTATAACAAAAGCAGCTACTCTAGATCCAAATAGATATGTCTCCCCCCAAATTGTGAAGATTTCGTCTCCCCCAATTTTCTCTCATTCTCTTTTATTGAGTTTGCTGTTTGCTGTTTACTGTCAGAAGTCTTGGTGAAGTTAAAGCAGAGAACTAAATGTTGTGCATCTGTCTAAACAAGGCCTGCTAAAACCACAGCTATCTCGTCAGCCCTTCCTGTTTTGGCATTCTCTATTTTTAAGAGGAAAATTTTTTATACCTTCCTTTTCTTTTCCTTGTATTTTCTATGTCTTTTTCTAGTCTTTCAAAACTCTTTGTCTAGCACTTTAAAAAAGTGTATCTACCAGTTTGCTCAACTTGAATAATCCCAAACTGGTAAGAATTTTGATTAGGGGATGTCTACATCATTTAATTAAGAACAGGGTTATAGAAGGTAACTTCTGACCTTGGAGTCCTTGGACTGTCTAGAGAAAGTATTTTCTAACACCGTAGATAAGAAGACTGGGAAAATATCAGCAAAACATAGAGCCACGTTCTTTATTTTTGATAGCTAAATAAACAGAGTTGGAGGTGGGGCATTTTCTAGAATCAATTTTACTTTTCAATACCAATCTTACTAGTGTTGATGTGTGCGCTTTTATCAACTAGCGTTCAGTTAACAGGATGAAACTGGACATGATTCATTTGATGTTTTCAAAGGTAGAAACCAACTTTGTAGTTTTTTTTTTCCTTCCGAATACCACACTGCTGAGGTAAAGAATGTTGTAGCTTGTGGGTGAGCTCAATAGGGCCAATTAAAACCTGACTACTCCTCCACCATGTTGAAATATCTGATAGAGCTTGCTGTGTCCTTGGATAATGGCACTTTTTTTTTTTTTTTTCTTAGCAGACATCTAATTGAGGAGTTTTCCTGTTTGGTTGTCAAGGAAATATGAAAACGAAAGTACTACATTGTTGGTTCAGATTAAGGTATTTAAAATTTTCCAGTTGTTCACATATGTTATTAATTTTTAGTCCTCCTTTTAAAAATAAAACATACATTGTGAAAGAACATGTATATATTCCACAGCAGCCAAACTATGTGTAGAATGCAAAGAGTATAGTTAGTGTAGTTCAGTCATTCAAACCAAGGTGTAGAGTTTTGTGGGATCTAATTGACATTGCAGCTGTAACTCATGTCTGCTTGGGAAGTATAATTTAGTTTGTGCTGTGATAAGTACTTGTTGACAATTCCTTTATAGCTTAAATGTTTAGGGGGGAAATGACAGACATTTAAATGTTTAACCCAGGTGTTGGGGTCTGGGAGGAATCTCAGAAACCAGCAGCCCTTTTCTTCCTAGTGGATTTGAGAGCAGAGGAAAATGCCTGCTCCCTGCAGCCAGTTTGTCCCCAAGTGGAAAAAGGGAGGCACCAAGCCAAGCCTGCCTGGTTTAGTCTTTCCAAATTTATCACATGTCACCCCACCGCCCCTGGATCTGCATGAGCAAGGGGAGTGATGGAGAAAGGCAAAGTGTGTTTCAGGATACTCCCACCTCTTGGAAACCTGAAGAATGGGAAAAAATTCTCCTTCTCTGACTAGAAAGACAGCAAATATCAGGTTGAAGCATATGAAATTGCCATTTTTGTAGGACTAAAATTATTGAAAAAGTCTGATT